CGGCTCCCCGGAGCTCACGGCCCTGCCTGTCCGTGCTGCTGTGGCGTCTGGCGCGGAGGGGAACGCCTCGGAGCGGTGTAGTCTGCGAGGGGCTGAGCCTGTGCCTGGGCGGTCTGGTTGTCAGGCCGGCGGGTGGAAGGGGGTAAACTTCGCAGTTCTGAGCGCACTTCTTCACCCCAGCAGGGAAAAGTAACTTGACAGTCGATGCTGTGAAGCTGCACAATGAGCTGCAGTCAGGATCCCTGCGTTTGGACCGAAGGAATGACAGTGCTCAGCTCCGGATGGAGGAGGATGATGCTGTGGAAGCCACCACGGAAAAGTCCTCTGGCACCTTCCTGAGCGGGTTGAGTGACTGCACCAACGTCACCTTCAGCAAAGTGCAGCGCTTCTGGGAATCCAACTCTGCTGCTCACAAAGAGGTACAGGCAGGAGCAGCACGGGGAGGGGGGTGTCAGGGCGAGGGCACTGACCTGCTCTGCTTTTTGCCTGTAGATCTGTGCTGTGCTGGCAGCTGTGACAGAGGTGATCCGCTCGCAGGGTGGCAAGGAGAGCGAGACAGAGTACTTTGCTGCACTGGTGAGTGACAGTCATGGGGAGGAGGTGTGAGGGGAGCTGCTGTTGGCAGCGTGGGTGGGTTTCAGGCGGGTTGGTGCAGGGGTGTCCTTTAATAGAGATGCTGCTGGGACTGGTTGGGGAATTGGGGATGGGGAAGGGCTGGCGTGGGGTGAACCTCCACTGCCCCTTGCTGACCCATACTCTCTTCCTAGATGACCACATTGGAGGCAGTTGAGTCTCCTGAGTCACTGGCTGCTGTTGCCTACTTGCTTAACCTTGTTCTAAAGCGGTGAGTGGCAGCAGAGGAGCGAGAAAAGCTACTTGGCCCCATCATGGAAGAGGGGCTGGTGCTGTCCCTCCTCTCTATGCTGGGAAAAGGACCCATCAGGAGCAGACTGGGGATCCTGTTCCTTGCCTGACTGCCACTGGCTGCCTGCTCCTCATCCCACTGACATGCTCCTTTCTCCTGGCAGGGTCCCAAGTCCTGTGCTTATTAAAAAGTTCTCCGATGCCTCAAAGGCCTTCATGGGTATCGTGT